GGGGTGGACATATTCACCTGCAATGTGCAGCGCAGCGCCCTCGGGCTTCCGAACAATGGCACCATTATAATTGATCGGGTGAAAACAGTGGGTCCTGAACCAGGTTGCCCGCGTCGCCTTCGACGCCGAGCCTCCGCACCTGGTGCATATGCACCCTGCGCCGTCAACAGAATGAGACGCAGCAAGAAGGGCGAGAGAAGCAGCGGCGGGGGGCGGGGGGCGGGGAAGGCAGGGCGTTTTTTTTTTTTTTTTTTTTTTTTTTTTTTTTTTTTTTTTTTTTTTTTTTTTTTTTTTTTTTTTCATCCGCGGCGCTCCTATCCCTCTCTGCAGCCGCCATGGAATCAAGAGTGGCCCGAAGAATGCGCATCCTGACGAGACGGGCCGCTCTCTCGCGCAACGACGCAAGCTGGCGGGCTGCCTCTGGGAGGCGGGCTTCGCTGGCCGCCTGCCCAGCGATCTCATCGACAACCGGGTTGCCTGCCGACGTCCACCGCGGGCCTCTCCCCTCCGCGATGTCGGTGGAAGACAGGTGAGAGCTCGCAAAGAGGACAGCGACGGCATCGTGCGACCTTTGCCTCAACAGGAGCCCCGGGCGCGCCCGCAGGTCAGCGCCCTCACTTGCGGGCACTGCATACTTGCAGCTATAAAGACCTGGCGCCGCTGATTCGCAATCTGAAGTGAGCGCCATGGGCCCAGTGGTCACCCACACGGCTAAAAGCAAAGCTCGCAGCTCACCTCGAGCAACAATGTCTAAGTCCCGACAGGGGGCCTCGCGCAGTCGAGGCAAACTTCAACTCAGGCTGAAAGGCCCGCGTGAAAAAGAACAACTCCAACCCCAGCGCGTCGGAAGGGCGGGTTGCTGGTGTCAGGCCCCCCGCTCGCGTCGCCTCCGTGATCAGCCCCCCGTCAGCTCCTCCGCGCCGACCCAGGCGTAGATCCCGCAGGGAGCTGGCGCCGCCGCCCAAGGAGCCGGCATGGGTCCTCTGAGCCAGAGGCCCTGGTCGGCCTCGCCCTGGGCGACCGCCTGCGGGATCAAGTCATTCGACGCATCGTGCGCGCTACTTCCTTCATTGCATTCACGTTGCCATATACGGTGCATCATGCACTCCGGCGCCTTCCGACGCCGAGGGCGCTCCACCCCGCCCGTGCATCTGCGCAACTCATCCTTCTTGCGCTGTCTTGGCCACCACCACCCGACAGCGCATGCGAGCATGACCTCCGGCAGCCTGTGCCCATAAGCAGGGGCGGCCGCCAGCTGCTGCAGCAGGATCTGGCGCGAGGTGCAGTCGACGCCCTGCTCCACGCCAGTGCTATAGAAATGCTGGCTGTCCCTCTGCCACAGGGCGTGCCTCGGCGTCTGCTTGAAATCCGCCATGGCGCCCTGGTACAAGTCCAGCGCTGCGAGCCCCGTGTGCATGTCGTCGTCGGACTTCCACATGCCCCCCGCGGCTGGGTGACTGGCGGGGGGGCCCCGCGATGTAGCCTGCTGCGGGTCCCAGCCTGCCTCCAACAGGTGCTGGGCGGTGGCAGTGAGGGCCCCCCGCGCATGACGTGCGCGGTGCGCTGCAGGGAGCTCCTGCATGTGCCCGTGCACCCTGTCCCACGCCTGCCGCGCCCCTGGTCGCAGCTCTGGTTGCTCCCTCCAAGAGCGCAGCCACAGGCCGAGCGTCAAACTGGCAGCTTGATCGCGGGATCCATGCCCCCCCGCCCTCGGCGCCAGCAGCGTGGCCAGGCGACGCCCGCGTGTGGGCGCGGCCAATGCCTGGCCCGAGCGGCGTCGAGCCTGGGTCATCCTGGCTCCGAAGGTGATGCCCATGCACCCCCGCTGCCTGGCCCCCCTGCTTCTCGAGCCCCCCCGTGCCGCGGTGCTTCTTCGTCTCCGCACTTTGCCGCTCGTGGGCTCATGTTTCGCATCCCTCTTGACTCTGTTCTCGCGCGACATCCTCACTCCCCCGCCCATGTCGACCCCGAGGTAGGCGGCCTGCTTGGCTGGCTGAATTGAATAACCAGCAAGCCTCGCGCGCTTCGCCACCCACTTGGTATCATGGGGCGACGAACGCACGATGACTGACTTAGGTGCGACTCGTAACTGCTTGACTCTCAACCCCTCACATGTGCCAATCGCACGCGCAGTCAAGTCTTTCCCCGCAGCGGCTCGCGACCCTCGGGCAGACTGGGACAAATCGCCGATCCAGATGCGTTGCCCAAGCCGAGGGTGTCCAACCGCAATGGTCGCCAGCACGCAGTGGGCCGTCGCCTTGGCGAAGCGCGTCCCCGCCCGCAGGCCTTGGACGGCGCTCTGCGTGAGCTGAAAGGCCCTGGTCGCGGCGCCAAGCTGGCCCGGCGTCTGGGCCGCCACGCGTTGCAACAGCTCGGGGTGCAAGATCTGCGGCGGGAGCTCCAGCACCAGCGCGCAGGGCGCGAGCGTCGGCCGCTCGATGGAGTCGTAGAACGACTGGATGTCAACGAGAGCCTCCCCCGTGGCAACTCCGAGGTGGTG